GTAACAACTCTGCTCAGATGCTTCATCTTTGCTTAATATGACAAAAGGCCCCCCTGACGGGTGGCCACAGGCTCCATTTGTCAGTCTGTTTTTGATTTGGACAACCTTGTTTCAGACTATCGCTGTGTTTTCCAATGATCTGATTAACTTCCCGGCCATCGAGACGGGTGGACGCCGACGGGAACTAGCTGTCGGGGAGCAGTCTCGGCTGTGGAGGCGCCGCCGCGGCGCTCCATAGCTTCGCGAGAAACGAAACAAAATCCGGGGTCTTGACGGACCGGTTTTGGCCAAGCAGATGCCCGACCAGATTGATGAAGCTCGTGCGAGCGCGTCTTCCGGGCGTCCACCACGTGGTGATCTAAAGATGTTCCCGTGGGCCACAATCCGGGGGATTGCTACGTACTACCTTGCAGCCCTACAGCAATGCAACCTACCCTTCAAAAGGCGGGTCACGATCTCGCCAAGGAGGTAGGTGACATGCCGCAGTGAACCCCTTCGTTGCATTAGCCGCATTCTCTGAACTTCAGCCGCAGTCCCATCTCCGAAGACGATCGTTTGTCAATCGTTCGAGATGTGAGAGGTGGTGATCATTCGGACGTCCCGAATAGGCTACTTTGGCACTGGCTTGCAGTCCAGTGCCGGCGTTGCACAACGGCGGCGCATCTTGGCGATCCCCGGGGTCCCTTCATATCCGCCGGCAAAGCTAGCCCCAATTCTCTCTTGCGAGGAACTTCGGTGCAGCTTCGCAAAATTCGGAAGGAAAATAAAATAAAATCACGGACTGATTGAAGACGTCCCCGGCTGATGATCCAATCTTCTGTCTTACCGTTACATGTGCCGCAGCAACAACGGGATGCCGCCTGGCCGGGACACAGGGGTTTTGTATGTGGGTAAGCGGACACGGGGGCTGGGGCTGGGGATGGTGGCCCGTGGGGAGGTGCGGCGACCCTCTCGGCGTCCATCGCCACGATGTCGTCTGAACTTGCCCGCTCACCTCGGGGATCAAAAAGAACCTCACCCCACGCGCATTCCCGCCCACACAACACACACGGTCTTGGGTATTGGGTACCGTAGCCCATTTCAATCGACGCAATGGCAGGCTATCAATAACACTCCCCCTGCCGGATCTCGGCAGTGCCAATCACAGATGCAGAGGAAACAATGGGTGACATCGCTGCTGACGGTGCGGGCCATCGGGAGCCGCCCCCAAAGCCTCGACATCCACCACCACCACCACTCACCACCAGGACGAGTATGTGTGTGGTCCGGACATGCCGCCAAGGAGGACGACCTCGCCTCCCTCCCCTGGCGCAGCCTGTAGGACATCATTCGGGGATTTTTTCCGTACCCCTTCATCTGTTGAGAGGCCAGGGATTCGTTGCAGGTTGTGGATGCACAGCATCCCGAACGAGGGATTCGATGCTCCTCTTGCCAGATTGGGCGGTACGAAAGGGCAGGGAGATGGAGATAGTGGGTTTGGGATGAGACACCACAGCGGTAGCTAGCCTACTTTGCCTACCTACCTGACTTACCTTTGCCCTACCTCATCTGTCTGCCTGATTCTGCTCTTGCTCCTGCACCATGTATTTTGTCTTTCGGCAGCTCTGTTGGGTAAAAACGTAACACAGTAGGTCGCCGATTACCACGTCGCCTAGTGCGTGCCAGCGTTGAAGCCTATTACAACGCCTTCAGAACGTGGCCATGCAGGCTGCCGGCCCGCGGGCTGCCATGTAATCTCTGGCTTGGCGGAAGTCGGTTCGGTCCCTGGGAGCCATGTATAATTAACATTATCCCCTTTCCCAGTTGGTGAGTTATAATCGATGTACTATTCCTTCGAGTCTCTTTTGTTATCCTTTAATCTCTTACATGACGTCGGGAGAAGAAAGACTGTTTCTCTGTCCACGAGTACTTATATATACCACAGCATCTCTTAATCAACCCTGCCAGGACAGCCTTGGAAGATATGGACGGTAACAGCAGCGACTACTACGAGCCCAGGAAGGAACGGAACAAGATGACGCGCAGCGACGACGAGGGTGTTTTTCACCATGACGCGGAGATGATGGGTGCTGTGGACGCCCATCTGCTAAATACCTCCGTCCAGAACATCTCGTGGGAGGGCATCGAGGTCACCGTCAAGGACAGGGAGACCAAGCAACCCAAGAGCATCGTCCATCGTGTTGACGGGCTCGTCGAGGCTGGTACGGGCTTGTCACCGCTTCTCCTCTTGTGGCGGTTAAATCACTAACACCACGTCACCAGGGGAAATCTGCGCTCTGATGGGACCCTCGGGCTGCGGCAAGACGACCCTCCTCAACGTCCTCGCCGGACGTCCCACCAATGCTTCCGGTGTCGAGGGCTCCGTGCTGGTCAACGGCGTCAAACCGTCCCGCTCCGAGTTCCGCCAGATATCCTGCTTCGTCGAGCAGGAAGACGCCCTCATCGGATCCCTGACCGTCCGCGAAACCCTGCTCTTCACCTCTCGCCTCTCGAGCACCAGCTCCCTCCCCCGCAGGGAGCGTCTCGCCCGGATCGACGGGTTGCTGGCCTCCTTCGGCCTCAACGACCAGGCAAACACCATCATCGGCACGCCCATTCGCAAGGGCATCTCCGGGGGCCAGAAGAGGCGCGTGGGCGTCGCCAGCCAGCTCATCACCAGCCCCAAGATCATGTTCCTGGACGAGCCCACCAGCGGGCTGGACTCTGCGGCCAGCTATGAGGTGATTAGCTACCTCAAGAAGGTCGCCCGGCGAAGCAACGTATGTGCCACTTGAATGTTTGCAACTTGGCCCCCTCGCAACTCACTGATGTGTGTGGACCATCCAGCTCATCGTCATCGCATCGATCCACCAACCCTCAACCTCCACCTTCAACCTCTTCGACAAGCTCATGCTCCTCTCGGGCGGCAAAACGCACTACTTTGGCGGCGTCGACCGCGTCGTGCCGTACTACGAGTCAATGGGCATGCCCATGCCCGTCCAGGTCAACCCGGCCGAGCACCTCCTCGAGCTCGTCAACGTCGACTTCGTCAAGGACAAGCGCCAGGCCGCGGCGCGGCTGCAGGCGATGCACGAAGCCTGGAGCGAGTCGGGCTCTGCGCGCGACTTGAAGATGGCCATCGCCGACGCGCAGCAGAAGAGCAACCCCGTCGTGCTCAGCGACGAGGAGAAGAAGCCCGGGCTGCCCAGCCTGGTGCTCACGCTGCTCCACCGAAGCTTCATCAAGAGCTACCGCGACGTCGTGGCGTACGGGATCCGGTTTGCCATGTACACTGGTATGCTTCACTTCTCCCCCACTACGATCTTTCGCTGATAATTTCAGGTCTTGCAATCATGATGGGCACGGTCTGGGTCCGCCTTTCCACCAGCCAGGAATCCATCATTCCCCTGACCAACGCGATCGTAAGTCCCTGCCGACGACCACTTCTTCTAGGTCCTGTCTCGACTAACAAGCTGAAGTTCTTCGGCGGCGCCTTCATGTCCTTCATGGCCGTCGCCTACGTCCCCGCCTTCCTCGAGGACCGCTCCCAGTACGTCAAGGAGCACCACAACGGCCTCTACGGCGCCACCGCCCTCCTCATCTCCAACTTCCTCATCGGCCTGCCCTACCTCTTCCTCATCGCCCTCATCTTCTCCGTCATCTCCTACTGGCTCTCCAACTTCCGCCCCGCCGCCGACGCCTTCTTCGTCTGGACAATGTGGCTCTTCCTCGACCTCCTCACCGCCGAGTCCCTCGTCGTCTTTTTTACGTCTCTCTTCCCCTCCTTCGTCATCAGCCTCGCCCTCGTCGCCTTCGCCAACGGCCTCTGGATGTCCGTCAACGGCTTCATGGTCAGCCCCACCATCCTCAACTCCTTCTACAAGTACGTCTTCCACTACTGGGACTACCAGAAGTACGTCTTCGAGGGCATGATGCACAACGAGTTCGCCAAGCGCGTGTACGACTGCGGCAAGGGGTGCCAGTGCATGTACCGCACCGCGCTCGAGGCCCAGTGCAAGATCGCAGGGCAAGGCGTCCTCGACACGTACGGCTACACCGAGGAGCACTTTGGGCGCAACATCGGCATCATGATCGGCATCATTGCCGGGTACAGGATCGCCGCGTGGATAGTGTTGAAGATTAAGAAGAACTGAAAGGGGGGTTGGACCCGCTGGTCGGATAACATACATCCTGATACTGCTGTTGCTGTTTCTTCTTGTTGGAAATTATTATTGTTTGGTGTTGTGAAAGATTGGCTTTCCGGGGTCTAACGGAACCAGACCTGTTGGTAGACGGTTGGTTGCAAAACAAAGTGGGCGTTTGATTAAGCTTTTTGCTGTAAATTGTAATATCAATAGTGTGTATTTACTTCTCGAAAAAAAAAAAAGAAGAAAAAGAAATCTTGCGAAAATGTGAAGACTTAGTTATCCCGCTGTAGACAGACTAACACGCCGAGTCGGCCCTGTTCGTGATCTGAGTTTAATGGTCCTCGATCAGAGGGCATAAGTAAGATCTAAGGGTAACATGCCAAGATCGACTGGCCTGAGTACTACGGTGGTGTGTCGATTCAAGAGAATACCGATCTCTCTACTGTCGAATCCTTTCTGGTCCGCCGCCATCACCACGCCTCCGCTTAGCAGTTCTCACGCACTCGATATGGCCAGTAGTCCCTTGAACTTGAAGTATTCAAAATCACGAGATGAAACCGACTGCCGCAAAGAAGCTAGTCACCAAAGTTAAAGTAGATGCTTCGAGAGACATCGCGAGTTGTGCTCGCCCGATACAATGATATTACACGTCTGTACATGAATACACATACTGTCATAGGCCTTGGGATCACCAAATAACGATCAACGCCGGTCCAACAGGTACTCCTGACCCCACAAACCAAGCACCTCCCGCCATGCCAACTTTTCATTCCAATCCTTCGAAGCCACCAGAGCGGATGATACATATAGAAAAACGGGTGCCGTTGAGGCAAGATAAATAACACAGAAGTTCTTCTCTCCCCACATCTTGCACTAGATCCTGGAGCTAGGTCCGGACCAGCGGCCCTTGTCCTTCTGCCAGTTGGTCCACCGGTTCTTCCCCTCGAACCTCGTGAACTTGTTGCCAAGGGCGTCCGAAACCGTCATCGTCTCGACCGGCATGAGCTGGGCATCCGACTGATACGGCAAGACGCTGCGCTCCTTCTTCTTTGTCACGCGCGGCTTCTTCTCCACCGGTGCCTTGACGGCCAACTTCCTCTCCTTGAGCACGTCGCTCAGCTCCTGCTCAGTGTTGACAATCTGCGCCTTAAGGAAGTATGGATCGCTGGATGTCGAGTCCTCAAGCGTATCCATAACGGGCGTGCGGGGCGTGTACGCGATGTCCTCAAGCTTCGGCGCATGGGATGGGTCGGGCACGATCGCAGGGTCCAGCCGGGCATGGGCACCCTTGGCGAGGAGGGCGGCGATATCGAGACTTTCGCCAGGTGGAATGGCCTCCTTGTGGGAAGGCGTTACGCAGTCCATGTCCACTTCCTTGCGGAGAACGTGGTCAATGTCGATGGCGGAGAAGTAAGCACATGCTTGCGGAAGGTCGTTGATGCCGACCTGCTGGGCAAACATGGCTCTCGTCCAAAGGTTTGCCACCTGCAAAGCCATGGCGGCGCGGTATTTATCGTGGTCCTTGACGAGGTATCTGATCTCGTCATGGACAGTGATGGCTAGGCGGGCTTCAATGTTGAAGCGGCGGGTGAGGTAGTCCATGCTGACGATGAGGAGGTGCAGATAGTCTACGCCAGAAGACTGAATGGCCCAGTTAATACGTGAGGTCAAGTAGCCGTTCTGGTTGATGAAGCGACGCATCAGGGCCTCAGTAATCCCTGCACCGAGGACAAAAGTCCGCGGCCGCTCCTGCGCGGCGAACTCTTCGAGCTTGTTGAACACAAAGGACTCCGTTCCTCCACGCCAGAATGGCCTCTTGCTCAAGACTGATCTGGTTGTTTTCGTTCCCTTCGTCCTGACATACAACTTGGCCGCAGTCTCGTTCGTCTCTTTGTCGGTCAGATTGGGGTTGAATTGTCTGAGCAACTGGCCGGCAAACTTCAGTCCAGCACCGTAGATACGGCCGTAGTTGAAAACCTTGGCGTCATTTCTCGTGATGCCCAGAATGCTTGCCGTCCGAGAGTGGAGATCTGTGCCGGCCGCTTTGGTGCCCTCGAGGGTCATGAATCCGATGGCATTGCCACCGTGGAGCTTAAACGTTGCGTCTCCGACCAGGCTGGCAATCCACAGCTCCTCGGAATCAACATCAGCGCCAACGAAGCTGTATCCCGGTGGTGCCTTGACCATTGCCTTCAGCTCCGAACCCACTCTGTTCTTCTTTGCGTTGCTCGCTGTGAGCCATGTGTTCTCCACAGCTCTTCGCGTAATGGTCCCCATCGGAATTACTTGAGGCAGGATGAAGCCCTGAACGTCCTCGGGAGACTTGCTGACAGGCCCTTTAGACTTCACTCCGTTGGAGGAAACCTCAGGAATATCGTCTTCGTAAACAACCATTTGCGACGTAATACGATCGCGAGCGCTGATCCAGTACGAGCAAGACGCATTCATCTCCAAAGCTTGCTTCGCGTAAGTGTATTGAGATGATAAAGTACCGCTCTCAAAGTACGATAGGTATCCCTTGGCCATGGGATTGGTGCATCTGGCCAGGGGACCGTCTTTGTGAGGTAACTTGAAGAAAACTCCCCCGTCTCTTCGCAAATCCGCGTCTTTTTCTGAGTCAGAAAAGTCGCACTTTACCATCTGCTTCTTCTCATAATTGAGTGCTTCATTTCTCGTCACCCTGAAAGTCCAGCCGTACTTTTCCGACCAAACTAATGGGTGGTTGTCCCATGACATCTTCAGTAGCAGAGGCGCAATACGGGTTCGCACCGTCAGGTTGATCGGAGCATCGTTTTTCGGAAATAAGTCTTTGTACCACTGAGGCATACCAGGCTTTTTCTGCCTCGCAGCAGGTCTGGGAGGATCGTTTTTCTTCTTTCCTTTGACCATTTTGATCTCCTGACCCGACCAGTCCAGCTGCTTCATCCATGGATCATTGCTCCACTTCTCCTGGTCATCTTTCATTTCAAGAGCCTTCTCGGTGAGCCCAATCAGACGCTCCTGCACTGCGTCGGAGAGTTCGCGATATGTGGCTTCGGCATTGGCGATGTACGCATCCCAGGACTTGTTGACGGGCAGAATGACGGATGCCAGATGCCGTAAAGCCGCAAAACTGACGGGATGAGGGCAAGTATCCAGAAAGTTGGGGAACACAATCTGATAAACCCTGTGAGTGATGGCAACATCGGCAGCGCAGTAGTCCAGCAGGTTGTCCAGCTTTTGCAAAATCTCCTCGCGATCATGGGTGCCCAGATCATCACGAATCGCCTTGTCGATGGTGACGTCGAGATGGAACTTGGCAACATCCCTCAACGAGTTCACTGAACTCCGCTCAACCCATAGTTCCGCCTCTTCCTGCCGGGCACTGTGGCTCAGCAGCTCCGCTAACTGTACATCGTCGGTTTGGCTGGTAAGTTTCTCTCGCATTTCCCGGTTCTTCTTGTGCTTCATCCATGTCGGCCTCTGCTGCGAACACATGCCGTTGACGGCGACGTGAAGCGACATCGTATCCAAGAACTGGTTCCGTGTCTGCTTGATGTCGTATTCCTCCAGTATCCTTGCTCGGTCGTATCCAATGTTATGTCCTACAATCACGCGCTCTTTCATCGGGTCGCCGAGCGGAATCAGATGCCGATCGGACTCGGATTCGCCCAGGAGCCAGGGCGACAGCCACGCATACCATGCTGTCGGACTTGATGCACAAGCCATGACTGCAAATGAGCTCTCCTTCCACATGACCTCGGTATCAAAACAAAGCATCGACTCGTCCGGGGCTTCCACTGCTTCCGTTTTGCCGTCGGGATGGTATTTTGTCCATCCGCTTCTGCGAACCCATTTCCTCGGTTTTGGTGGCGGAGCCGACCGCGCAAACTGTTTGGCGTAGGAAAGGTAAGGTTCGGCGCAGTCAACAGCAAGCTTGTGGAAGTGCTCATCCAACGTTCGGCCTTGTAGTTCGGGGATATCGAAGGCAATGGGGTCGCTATTATCGGTGTTTTTACCAAGAAGATCGTGTCGTCGCAAATGGTCTTTGGAAAGATCCACTAGTTCTTTAGGTGGCGGCGCATTTCCATCGGGAAAAATCTGCTGAAATACGTGCTCGCTGAGGTGCTGGACGCCGATATCGTTGAAACGTGATTGAGATGAGACTGCGGTGGTCAGTATGCGGAGAGCAATGAGGCAGGTGGATGCGCGTACTCGCCAGACTCCGTTCTTCTTCCTCCGTAGCCTTAGGTGCCGGGTTGCCTGCGGCGACGGCAGACTGCCACCGAACTTGGGAGCGCCATACCAGGCGACGAAAAGCGTGATGTCTGGCAATGCGGACAAAGCTCGCAGTCGAACCCCTCATCAAATGGGTTCCAAGTTGAACCATCGTCTCGACCGATGGAGTTACATTACACGGCAGATTCGATAATGTTTGTGTTCGCGCGGTCAAGACGCATGGCCTCAAGTTGCGTGGCGGATGTTGCGCAAACAAAAGACGTTGGGCGATGACGATGGCAGCAGGGGCGACGTCGAAAAATCGAAAGCCGTCACCACTCTGATAGGCGTCGTGATGGGCGCAGAAGAGGGGCGCGTTAGCTGAAGTTCCGTCTCCTCCAAGACAGGGATTACCGGCCAATCGGCGACGCTGGATTGTCTGACCTTGCACACCTTGCTCACCTTGTCAGGGCCCACATTTTAAGGGTCTGCGCCGAGATGCAAGGGAGGGTACGTACCTTGTCAGCATTCCTTGATGAACCGGTGGCTCGGGACCCCAGCTACTCATTCTGGCAAACACCAGGCTAAGGTGCCCTTGTTGATGCCAAAGTCATTGATTGACCTGACACTATTGAGAGGTGCCGATGCCAATATTATCCGCAAATACCGGCACACATATAGGTATCAAGACGATATCTGTCGGTCAAGGCTAGGTACGCAGGCGAAAGAGCTTTATAGGCTACGATCAATATGGACACACATCCAATCGACTACCCAAGTAAAGTTCATACGTACTGTCCCTGCGTGCGCTTTACCTGGCTGGGTCAAATGAATCAGCGAGGCTCTCAGCCACGGCCGATGAAAGCACCCTCAAGGTGGTTCCTTTTCTGCATTAAAGGCCATTATGCCGTCCACACTTGTGGATTGGTAGTGAACCGGGAATTTCTGTCCTCAGCTGGTCAACATACCGGGCACTCTCCACGACCCGATCTTTGACAATCTCCCCGGAAAACAGAGCCAGGAGACATGAGCCTAAGCAACTATACCGGTGACCTAGTCGGCCATTACTAGGCTAACAACTGCCCAGTGAATTTTACGCATCATGTCGACCATACAGACCCCGGCAGCCAGCGGCTTTGAAAATCTGCTTCCTGAGTTGTTCCGCATGATTATGTGGAACCATCTCGAACTTCAAGATGTGCTGGCGCTGGCTTGCGCCTGCAAAAAGACCTCAGATTGCTTCAGAGCCGAAAGAAAGGGCTTGGCGCGACGTTCCCTCCGCGAACTGAAGTCATACCTGCCCGAGTCGCTTTGGACTTACGCTAGAGCTATTATTAATATTCGCCATCACCGTCAACATACTTCGGGAGCTATCCCAGGTTCCGGCCTTTGGCCCAAAATGCCGTCGGCCACTCAAACCGAGGCATACGTGGCAGCTGCTTGTGCAGCATTGAAGAGTGATCATACAGCCTGGGTCGAGGATCTGAGGATGCGTCAACTGGCCGATTTGGAAGTTTTGTTCGACGACGTCGATTACTGCACCGTCGTGGCCATGAGGACTGTCAATTGTACGCTCACCCTGGCCGAAAAGAAAGCAGAAACCTTAAAGTGGCAGCGTAACTTCCTGTGCTTTGAGCTGGCTTGTCAGGTGTTCTTTATCGATGAACCCTCGGCTCGCATATTGTGCCAACAGACGTACGAACGATTCCACCAGGCATGCTATAAAACCACTTCCTTTTCACCATCGGAACTGAAGGAAGCCGTACGGTTCATAGGCAAAGAGCACGTCAAACTATGGGAGGAAACGACAGGACGAGTTACACTCCAGCCCTATCTCGAGCCACAAAGCCCGTACATGATAGTCGATTTGATGTCAAACGAGCAGTTGGCTTGCGGCGCAAAGAATGTTCTGGTGGCAGTAGTGGGAGCCTCGAACAGCGGATCTGCCTGGCCCCCCGGCTTTAAACCGGTGAAGTCGGGAAACAGCATCGTCGTTTACTCAGGAGGAGACCGCATTGAACTCATTGCACATCGGCCCATGGACGAAGAAGAATCTCAATACATATACTTGCTCACCTCACGAGGGCTCCGCGAGCTTGTCAGTCTGCGGCGTATGGGCGACGAGCAGCGACGAGGTTATATAAGAGAGAATTTCTTCAGGCGTCGGCCATGGATGCATTGCCCTCCCGAGATAGTGAAAAACCCCTCATCTCCAACATGGGAAAAGTTCCGTCCGCCGTTGTGGGGAGAATTCGTAAGGTCCGTTGATGAGAGAGTCAGAAGTGCAATTAAGAGTTTCAGGGAAATGCCCATAAACAACTGATGCCGGATGCCTGGTTTGAACAGCTTTCGAAGCAAGCGAGAGCCGCGGACATGTACACCGATGAGGATGATGGCTGATGCAATTTGAGGGGTCAGATTCGGAACGCCTCCGTGGTTAGCAGACTAGCTGCCTGTATGGGACTCCAGATAGACGCGCGCAAGCTGTGCACCCACCGTATTGACTGTTGCTCAAGGGAGGCGAGGCGCGAAGACGTACGACTAGTATTGAGCTGGCAGGCGGCTCCGGTAGGACCAACGAAATTGATGCTTGCTTTTGTAGTATAATTCCTTTTTCTTTCCCCTTTCCATGACCCGATCACTGTTCCAGCCTCGGTCGACGCGATTGGAGTAACACAAACGTGTGATCCGAGCACACTCCACTGCTGTGTCTCTGGCAAATCTTGGGCGGACTTGATAAATAGTCGAGAAAAGGTCGTGTGTGCCTTGAGTCTGGCAAGGCTTGCCATCAAACCTTTTTTTGCCATTGTCGACGATAATCGGACCAACTGAGCGATTCAGGGCTGCCGCAATTGCCGCCGTGGAGCTGTATCATTATTCATCACCACCACCTGAGGTGTCTTAGGTGCACGCGAGATATGGGCTGTCGGAGCACCTGTCCGTCCCCGAAGAGCCACCTGCATTATCCGTATGCCGCTTGCCAGTAGGTAGTAAGTAGGTTCCCGTCACAGCAATTAGGCGGGTAGCTCCTTGCACTGAGGTGGCCAGCAAGCACCAAACTCCAGTGGAACAATCCCCGAACCGGCGGCTAAACCCCGAAAACACGCCCACGCTCGACGCCCACGACACTGGGAATTGAGTGTGTGAGACGGACGGGAGGGTGGACGTACGTCCTGCCGCTGCGCTGCGCAGCGTCATCCCGCCTTTTCGCCTTCCTGGCGCTGCATCTCCCCCTCTCCCACTTCACCTCCATCACGTAAACATGGCCAAGGATCCCTTTGTCGATTTCAGACCTCCCTTTCGTGGATACTTGCCAGGTAATTAATTCTTTCCTCTTTGACCTACCACCATACAAATACCCTTCATCCATCGGGGTGCAGAGACACTGTTCCTGACACTCAATTCCGCTTGCCGCCCCCGAAAAAAGACGACCGCCCGCGCATCACCCTTCCTCCCATGCCGGGCCTCATCCCGTTTCTGCCCACGCCGCCGCTGCCGCAGCCGACTCGAACCGCCTCTTCGTCCATAGCTCGACCGGTGAATAACTTCCTCAGCGTAGACCGGGGTCCTGCGCGAGGCAGCAGCAGTCAGGCACCCATCGAGCTCGACAGCGATTCAGAACCCACTCCGGGGCCCCAATCCGCCACCACCAACCCATCTACAACCACAACCGCTTCCACCACCGAACTGTCCCAACCACAGCCACAGAACAACATCCCCTGGGACCTCTGGAACTGGGCCGCCTTGACTCCCGACAGCACACAGCAACCACCACAGGCCCTGCCTTCCTTTTCTGACTTTGCCGCCAACCTGGATCTCGACACTCTTGACGCGACTCTGCTCAGCGCCGCCGCCCCGCATACACCTGCCCGCGAACCGAACAGCGACGACTTCCTCTCTGCACTGGTAGACGGAAACTTCTCCTCACCATCCTCCTACCCGCAGTCGGCTCGAACGTCCTCAGGCAATAGGTCCTCCAACGGCGCAAGCACACAGAACCACCTAGGCTCACTACGACCGAACCGACCTGCTCCAACATTACCCAATACCGTATCTACCGCGGCAGGCCCTCGACGATCGACACCACGTCCCAGCGTCTTCGACGACAACGATATTGAAGAATCCCTATTTGTGAGCTCGGACAACGAACCGGAAGACATCATGCCTGTTCAGACGCGCCGGAGGGCGTCCACAATCATCAGCTCTGACAACGACCCGGATGAGGTTGTGCCGACCACCACCACTCGTAAAAGGGCCGCACCTTCCTCAACGGCGGCTAGAGGGGCGCCGACCTCCACCAAGAGACGCCGAACTTCACAGACATCTGCCACACGTGCGCGCACAACATCAACCGCCCCACGAGCGACACCTACGAAAATTGAGGACGACGATGACATCTTTGGCGACAAGGAGTTTGAGAAGGGCAAGGGCAAAGAAGAGAAGGACGAGGACGCCATCGACCTTGTGGCCTCTAACGAGGTGCCGCAAGAGCTGCTGGTTCCCAAGGAGGACAAGAGGATAAAGCTGTCCGCGTTTACATGCGTCATCTGCATGGACGATGTCACTGCTCTGACGGTCACGCATTGTGGTATGTGGTGGGTATACATAGCTGTTCTAGCTGTTCTGACATATTTCTAGGCCACCTGTTCTGCTCTGAATGCCTACACTCAGCTCTAAACGTGGACGCCACCAAGAACAAATGCCCGATATGCAGGCAGAAAGTCGAGACCAAAGATCGCAGCGACTACACCTCAAAAACGAAAGGGTTCTGGCCTTTAGAGCTGAAGCTCATGACAGCAAGCCGAAAGGGCAAGCAAAAGGCGTGAAACAAACCGCCCATGTATAAACACACACCATACACACACACAACATCATCTCTGCAACCGACCTCGTTACCGTCGGGGATACGGCAAAAGCGCGACAGGTGCCACCATAAGGGTCGCAGTTGACCTAAAGGATCGATCTATCGAATCGAGAGAGAGAAACTCTACTAGCATCATTACACGAAGGCATGAAACTGGAGAAAGAGGGCAGCATTGGCAACGGATTTTGAGCATTTCTAGTGCGTTGGGCGGAAGGCAGATAGGTTTTGTCATATTTCTTGTGATACCCGTTCGACTAGCCTTGAGGGAAAGGGGACGGATGACAGGACATTGGGTTCTAGATTCTGTA